CAGTGATAGACACATTTCAGGTTACTCCTGATATGTTTGTGGCATGGCCGGAGTTAGAATGCAAGGGATCCACCAAGACTCACTTTGATCTAAAATGCATGGTTGAATAATATGTTAACGTGAAACATAAATGAATAAAACGTCTATTTTTAATTTAAATGGCGAGTGTCAGCCTCGCAGCGACTCCTGAGTGCTATTTTACCTACTTTTTTATTTTCCACTACTTCACTGTGGAAGACCGGCTTAATGGGGGAGATGGACGGATTACGGTAAGGACACGGCATACACACGCACATACACACACAACCAGTGAACACACATGACCAGCGATCCACAGTTTGTGTAGTGTAACCTACATTTTAACAGAAGTGAACTGGTTTGAAACTTCAGTGCACCATTTATGGAATTCTAACGTAGTTCATTTCAATTTAACAGGCTTGCAAAACACACAGCAAGTCCACACACTGCATACAGGCGCAGTGTGGGGACGAGCTTTATGTAACTAGTTCATCTGGTGAATTTCATACATTTTTATAAGCTCACTGGCCATAAAAAAATCTTTTGATACAGGCCAGCCTCCAATCTCGTTCACTTTTCCAACACTCATCAAACCAAACGTGCTGCTCCTGTAGCCCCATTTGTTTTGCATTGAGTTTTATGGAGACACTTGGTCAAGGAGGCGCAGGCACTTGTAAGAGCATAGACTTTTTATGACACAAACGCACTGCCCCATGCCAAAACAATGAATTCCTCTCCACCCCCCAACCACACCGGGAGAATGTGATTTTACATGCAATCCGAGCCTGAAGTGTGTGCGGACAGTGGTGGGGGGAGGGCTCTCTTCACCTTTCACCCCGCCGTGTTGGGACTATTTTTTTCCTGGGCCCCCGTGCTACTGGCCAACCAGAGAGGAGACGATGGGTAAATATACGGATGGGTCTGAATGTGGTGTAACTAGGAAATAGGTGTTATGACACTGGGGCGTTGGGGGTGATTCCAGTGTTTGCAACTTCTCTTTATTTCACTCTTTCCCACACCGGCAATCTAGCTCAGCAGCGGGTGAAAAACACGAAAATTCCTATTTGAATAGCTGATGCCTGTAAAAACAAATAAATGGTTAGTTTCCTGAAGTGACTGGATTTGACAGGAAGTTATAGTGTCCATTTTTATTCCAGTTGTTCCCAAACAGTCATGCAGTGTTAGGATGACAAAAATCACATGACACAGATGGGAATGCACATGGTCTGTCACCACCAGTACAGCCCTTACAACAGATATTACATTTACCATAAACCATAAGAATGACATGCAGTATGTCCATACTATATAACCTATAATTACTGCCTAAATGAATATCAGGCTCCATTAAGTTTAATGGTGCATTTACTGGGGTTGCTGCAGGTGAATAACCTTAAATAAAACTTACTGTATTAACTGTATTCATGAAACAACGAGATGGACTGAAGGGGTGAAGAACTTGTGCATGTGCGTGCTGCTGGCTCACTGCTTTGTCTGTGAAACACTGTTTTCATTGTTTCTATTTAATAGTTGGGCTAAATTTATATGCTACAAGCTACATTGTGTAAAAACAGATCAAATAGGCTATTTCACACAACATAGATTTTCTTAACACTAACAATGTTAGGCTGTTTTTTTAGCAAGGTCTAAAGGCCATAGATTCTACATGACTCATTAATAAATTATTGATTTGAAAGCAAGCATACGGCATGTGTTTGAGAACACAATTGCTTTAAAATAAAAGTCCTATACTTAGCTGTCAGTAGTCATTTGTTGAAGCTTATGAGCTCAGTCTGTGAAAACATTCCTCCCAGACTGCTTTAGTTTTCTGTGGAGTTCCCCTGCAATGCACACGCACACACACATTTGGGATGCAATGTTTAAGGACAAAATTCAGATTTTATTACTGGTGTGATTTTTCTAACAAACATTCCCTCCTCCTGGGTCTTTCTGAGAATTTATAAATGTCGAGAAAAACACACAAGCTTTAAAAGAGATGGAGTTAGGTGGACAATCTAGGAGCAGTAACCATTCGAGAAAATAAATACCTGGCAGGCAATTATGTATGTCCACCATTTGTGTGTATAGTGCCTCAACACAATACCATTTCACATGCAGCTTACAAACAAGTCTGTCGATGTGAAGGCTGCTTTTCCCAGTGTTGCCTTTCCTCACTGCGTATTTTACACATTTCTCATTCTGCACAGAGACCACAAAACTTCACTCAGCCTATGCAAACATGCCCAGAACCCAATCATGAGAGCCCTCGAACTTTTAAAATCTCAAGTGCTGTGAAGTCACCTTTCTTGCAATTAAATGTGGCCAAAAAAGACAAGAATAAGAGGGAATATGAATGAACACACTGCAGAAGTAAGCCAGTAAAACCCTTTTATTTGCATCTGTTGTTTCTATAGTTCTCTCAAGCACTTGCAAACTGCAAAATCAATGAAATGCAAAAAACCACAATTTAATGTTTTTTCAAGCACGTAGTCTCAGTCTTTTCTTTATTTCTGCTCTGTCTCACCCGTGTCCACCTTCACTACTGTACTGTGCAAGTGAAATAGGCTACCTACTGTGCAGAATATACAAGCAACATTTTTGAAAACCCTGACAACCCTAGCTCTGTCAGACATACATCCTGCTCTACAGGCTACATTTACATACAACAGTTCAGGTTTCTTAACTGTGTTAAATTAAATAAACTATTTCTCTAGCAATAAATATTATTGTCTATTGTGTCTGTTGACAAGAGAATATGGTTGAGACAAGACAGCTAATTTTGAAGGACTGTAGCAGAGATCCTCATACAAATACCAACTTGATGACGTACAGTATAACCAACAAAGATCTAACATACAACATCTAAGAGGACTGCCTGGTTATAATCACAGAATACCTGAAATTATATAAAAGCCCTGAGTGCTATATGTACTTTGAGGTCACCAATAGTGGCTGGAAGCACACAGTGTCGCTGCAATTTTCTGTCTCAGAGACAGCTCTTCTCTGATAACGCGAGGAACATTATACATTATTCGTGCAGACTTTGACTTAATCAAGTGCAAGTTGTAAAAAATCATTTGCCATTTTCAGTGTTTCAGTAGCTATATGGGCCCCTACACAACCGCTGCCCCCTCCTTCGCCTCCCTTTGTTCTCTCCAGCTCTAATAGGTTTTCCCCTGCCACACACAATTCACTTTTTTTTTCCCTTTTCCCCAGCTCCCCATCCCTCCCACACCCCCTTTTAGTGCAGTGCCCAGTGTCGACTGGAGCATTTGAGCAATTTGAAATTAAAGCAAACAATGGGCAGGCACTCCCAGGAACCTCTCGCTCACCATATTACACGGAGGACGCTCGTGTGCTCTTGCGCATTATTGGCAAGTCATTACGTTTCTCTGGAAACCAAGAGCGGGAGCTCGCTCAGAGGAATCGGTGATGCAAGCAGCAGCTGAGTGCTTGGAGTAGCATGTGTGTATGTGTGTGTGTTCTGGAGCATCCTTGGCAACAGCATGGGGATGCTGTCAAAACAAAACTGTATATTGACAGGTCTGATATGCAGCCTGATGTGGGATTCTCAAAGCCCATTTCATATGTTTTGAAAAATAAAGGTATTCTTCCTTACAATGAAAAGCTCACTATACCTTCTCCATTCTTCTATCATTCTTAATCATATTGAAATGGCATGGTGAAAAATACAAAATATTTTAGTTAATTAAAACGTTCCAACCCAAGCTGTTGATTGTCCAGAGTTGCTGTTATTTATATAAACCATGATTCAAATGTATTATGTATATGAGCTATTATTTTGTCCATGCACATGTTCCTATAGTTGTCATTGACTTTAAAATAAAGCTGTTGTTTGTATTTTTTATTTTTGTCATCTAACTATTGTCATGTTTTAAAGTGTGTGCTGGAAAATGTTTAATTATATGCAATAAAATCACTACAAACTTGACTTTTAAGGATGCATGTGTGGACGGTAAAAATGACATCTGAAAAACATTCTGCATTACAGCGTGAAAACTAATCATTACGCCTTTGGCATAATAATACATATGCACAGTCTGCCTATAGGGTATAGTAAAATGATGTAACTAATTTAAATGGCTTATCACAGGATAGGATAAAACAAATATTAAATGTAGAAAAATCCCATTAAAAAAGGGAAAACCAGTGTCCAGAAGTGTGTGATTTTACAATTTAAACCAACAAAAGGTTTTCTGTAGGTCATTTAGGCTTTAAATTACTGTAAATATTATTTTCATTATTGATT